ATTTAGCCAACAACACTGATTCCAAATAATGTTTCGTTCAAAGATCTAATATTGTTACAATATGCTAGTCAGACATTGATTTCTATGTCATGATGAACTGGTTCGTATCAAGAGTGTGGAGATGATTCCAACCGAGTCATTAATCTGATTTACGGTGCTGACATGAACGAGGTTGAATCAAAGATCAAAGATTAAAGATCAAATATTAATTACGGGAATCACTTACAAGCTCATGCTTTTCTCATCCCATAGGTTCGTTTTGTGGTTAAAAGACAGTGATACATACAATTCCTTGTGTAAAATGCCACATGAAACGGACTTCTTCCAATGCTGCACGCAGCTTCACTTATGTTGGAATGTAAGTTGTGCTAATGTTTCATTGAGTCTCAGTTTGAAAGATTCGCTGCTTGGTGCACAAACGACGTGGGATGGGAGAGAGTTTCAGATCAAACACACTCTGACTGCGAATGACTGACCCCGGCATTCCAATCGGCATTTTGAGGCCACTAGTTTGAACGGATGTCCTCTAAGATGAACGTTGGGTGATAATTTTAGCAGCGGGTGACACGGATGGCTTGGGTTTTGCATTATTTGGTATACCATAATCATATCTCCTCTGATACGTCGGTAAGGATTGGAATATAACCCTATCGACTCCAGTCTGCGTGTGAATAACGTTCACTGCACCAACCAGTTTTGTGGTCATTCTTTGCGGACGCTTCAGCATTTTGCAATCACGTTGTAGCCATGGATTCCATGCCTGGATAGCGTATTCTGTGAGTGGTCGAATATATGCTGATAGTAGGCGGGGGAATAAAGCTGACTCAAAACGGCCAAAACTGCACGTAAACAAACCGACATCCTTTACAGCTGCGTTGAGTGCAGCTGAGCGAGTAGCTCACGTTTTCTTGATTAACGATGCCCAGGTCCTTCTCACTTGAGGCATGTGTCAGTTGTTTATTTCCGAGGAAATACAAAAGTTACTCCTTGTATCGTAGAGATAGAACTTCACAATTCGGCACAATGAATTCACTATTGTTCAGAAGAGACCAGAGATGAGCTGTCGGAAAGTGCTTCCTCCCATTTCGATGCACCGAAGTGAGCTCTAATTTGGACCAGTTCTCTCAATTCTGTATAGTGAAGGTGAATCGCATTTTCAAGAATTGAATACTCTTATGGTACAAACAATACTTCTACGGAGGATATGCAATGTGTCACTGATAGTGACAAACAGCATAAAATCGGGGTACATCATTTACCACTAGCCAGCAACAAATACGCATATCGTTGAGCAATATTCCCGGCTCACACAATTGTACCCACACTGTTTTCATTTTTTTTTAGAAACTACGAATTCGCTCAACTTGACTTTTGATCTACACCCGAATAGAATGGATCTATTGTGGACTGGACCGGGGTTATATCAGCCTTTGTTCTACCGCGTGGACGGCGTCTATGACAACGGAAACGAGATCACTAAAGTGGTGACTGGTCACAGATGTACCATTCCCCTCGAACCGGGTGTGGAATATGCGAATGTGATTGTGGCCGCGGTGGATGCGAACGGAGAGCGGAAAATTTCCAGCCATCGTACAGCCTGGCCCAAACGAGGTGATTCTAACAGTTCACTGTTCACGCGATCGCATCTGGTTTATTCACACGCCATACGTGAGCTGTTTCATGCCTGACACCAATCTTATTTGTTATCTGTGTGTACTCGCAACGAGGTAGGTGATACAACCGTCCCTATGTGAGCTGTAGTTCGTTAAACCAGACCGGAATGTGGGTTAACAATGCAGACATTTTTCTCAATCCGGGTAATTTGTGCATTGCTCTATTTGTATTGATTTTGATTATTGAAAAGACCGTAGGAAGTGTGCTCGTGTGTGTGTGTATGTATGGCCTGTGTGTTTGGGTAAGGCAACTGTTAGTTAGAGTCTGCTGCTCTATCATTTATACGGGTGTGAGGTCGTCGCATTTTGATTTATTCACCGTTCAAGTGATAATAGCTCATCAGGTCATTTCTAACACAAACGTACACACACACACACACACACAAGATCGACGAGCCCTCATCTAAAGCAATAGATTTCATATATCCCAACTACGGAAGCGAAATCTGGATTAGCAACATTTTTCTCGTCGTTTTAAGAATGTGAAGATGAATTTCAGGGATTTTTCAGTCAATTTTCAATGTTGTTCAATGCAATCACCATTTCATTCAGCCATTTAAAAAGTACATACAATTGTGTAGATGATGAATGTTTCGTAAAACCTTTCCACAAAATTATTTGAGTCATTCATTTTTATCCTTCACTGTTCTGCTATTAATAGAACGCGAATCGTTATCGGAAACCGTATTCCGATATAAAGAATTTGGGGCGAATTGTTAGCCCTAAAGTGAAAAATAACACCGAAGAGTCTAACATCTGAGTAAATGGACCTAGGATTAGACTCGAAAAATGAGAACGCAACATGTCTTACAAGTTCCAGCTTTCAGCTTTTACAACCATTAACCAAGCACTTTGTGTCCCGGTTTTGGTTGCCCACTTGGATCAAACAGCAGAAATATGATTGGAATGTGGAGAGTAGAGTCAAAGAGAAGATAGAGAATTCACATAGACTAAAGTTGCAAGGATAATAAGTAAATGCACGAGTGCTATTGTTTTCGACAGTCATATCACGCAGTATCCGTCACCGCCAGTTACGATGATCTCGGGCCTAACACGGCCTATGTGAGCAAGTTTCCTGGTCAGGGTTTTCATACCCTCATGCCCGGTCTGAGTTTGACCACCATTTACATTTTTGCACTCAACACCTGCCTCGGCTAATAGCACGCACCGTGACAATCTATTTGACAACATGCACAGCACATGCCTTAACCGATGCCGTCTGTGGACATCGACCACTTGTTGCGGTAGACGACCGAAATAACCTAAAACTCTGCTCCTATCCTCGGCATTTCTTGTCCAGTTTCCCTAGCACACTCGTGCGATTCGGCTTAGACAACCGTTACTGAGCACAGACAATGTATCCTTATCTTACCAGTGATTCAATATCGGTCAATTCAAACTACAATTTGGCTTGTTAGTTTACATCCCGAAATAAATCAACGTTTACCCCGTTAAAAGCAAAATGGTATGCGGTTTGTGTGAATTGAATACGTTCCTTGGGTTTTATCAATCGCTGCATCGAGTTAGTATGTTTTGGTAATAATTTCGAAAGTTCTGCTGCAAATTGAACGTCATAACTAGATAGATACATGTCCCATAAGATCTTATGTAGGATGGCAATAAATTATTTGAAATAAATCATGTTACATGCAATAATTCACAATTTATTTTTGAAACAAACAAAATATATTTTGTCCCTTTGCTCGCACGATTAAGCCACATGGTGTTCGCAAATTATTATTGCCCTTTTAAGCAAAGAGGCAGTGAACTGTTTGTATTAAAAAAGTTCTTCTGCCACAAAGTATTTCTGTGAATCTATTTAAAAAACATTCAAGCTTTAAATTGAGGCAGGGCTCAAAATTCGAATCGGAGGAATCAGATCACATAAACGATAGTGAGCTAAACCAGTTGAGTAACAAAATCCTAATTGAGATGTATTCTGTTCATCAGATAAAGCGGAAGCTGACCGCTTATGCAATAACAACATTCTGCAATTATAATATGCCTACTCATAAGTAGTATGCAAAACTATACTCAAAATTTGGATATAAAAATGGTGGTCGGCACCAATTATTATATCTTAAAAATGATCAACTGATAAAATAATAACAATGATAATAATGGTAATGGTATCAGAAATAAAGAGGAAATATCTAACAGGATAACTCTGTGTTATGCTCCGTAATCATTAAAATGTCAACTGGAAACGTCTGATAAGAGCAACTAAACTATAAGCTATGCTGAACCTCATCCAGATGGTTCACAAAATGTTCCCAAACGCACTGGCGTGTTTCTTGTACCTGGCGCATCGCAGAACGCAGCTATCTCTGCTCCGCTTATACTCCTGGACATTCATCATATGCCCAAACACACAGTATTTCTTTGGGAAGCAGTCCATAATAATGCATGTACTCAAAGGAAGCAAAGCCTGGGATTTGTTCAGTGTTTTGTGCAAGTTAGAACGATCAGGTATGCCATAAAGGCCACAAATTAAAACAAAAGCACCCATAATCGACAGTCATATCAGACCTAGAGAAACTAAAAATATTTTTTGATATGACAGATGTTAAATTGAAATACCTGGAAACAATAACATGAAAATTAAAGAAAGTATGTATTTGAGCCGCACTTACCAAGTGATCAAACATGAGAGGGTGGGACATAAACGGTCAATCTCCGCCAAATTTTGAACACAGTTTGTCACTCCAGGAGGTCTTTATCATTTTTGACCGTTTTGAGAAACAATTTATATCATCCTTTTGGTCATTTAAACCATACTACTACTGCTAATAAATATGAGTAGTATGTCACAACACCATTAAGCCACACAACTCCAAACTTGTCTGCCTCAGTTTCGGTCTAAATGTATAATCCCCGTATCAAAATAGTAATATAACGAGGGAGTTATTGTGATAATCTGTACTTGGTATCGGAATGCGAATCGCAGTAACTCCGCGCAGTTAAGTTCCAAACAAACTAGTACACAGTATGAAATAAAACACCAGAATATTCGAAGTTGAATTATATTACGTGTCGAAATTGCACAAAGCAATCGATCATGTAATGATACAAGAATGTTCAGTTTATACACAATCACCACATCCACCGCAAGGAGTTGACACATTCTTTGACCAATCTGGTTCAACACCAATCCTCTTGAAGGACGTAGCTCATTTCCACAATGATAAATTACTTCAGCTGATCCCAGATTAAGAAGATTGGTACGAAGTATACGATTTTTGAATAATTTGGTCGAACTCCTCTCCGTAGCTGCATGAGTAGAGTTTCTGTACTGCATGAGGAAATTGTCAACACCCCTGTCTAAATCAATGAAAGTATATATGCGGCAAGATGCAATTGCACTTTTCAATGTCCGAACGAAGTTTTCTGCTGCACCATTTGACTGTGGGGTCGAGGTGGAGTTAGGATATGTCGGCAGCCAATCGATTTCAACCAATCCATCACACCGTCATTAGTCACGGCGGCTTGTGGAACACCCTCCCGGCTGAACGTCCTCTGGAAAGCAGTTATAGTGAATTCGGTGTTGAGTGACGTAGTGAAATAAACCTCAGGCCAACTTGAATAAGAGTCAATAATCACTAGAGCGTAGTATTTTTCTAGGAAGGGACCATAGTAATCAGCATGCACTCGCTGCTAGGATTCAGAAGACATTGTCCAAGGGTCCACTTAGATGGTTGTGTGCGAACTTTGTTGGTGCAGTCAGTACACGATTTGGCCACTCTACGCAAATCACAGTTGAGCTCCGACCATCAGCAAGTCAAACGAGCGAGTGATTTCATCTTCTCAATACCGAGATGTCCCGAACACAAATCACTCAGCACTGTAGAGCGTAAAGATGGAAGGATGATTGTTCGGTCGTTGAGACATAATATTCCATCACAAGTGACTGAAAGTTCTTCAC